TGTATAAGAGACAGGTCCTGGAGCCGGCGGGCATTGCCTCTGGGGACATGGGGGAGGCTTCCAGCAGCTGCTCACAGAAGCCGCCCCTGTAGCCCCCTGATACCAAACCTTGCCATGCAAACCCAATACAGTCTGCAAACTCTTATTGCTGCTGGATATCAAATGAGATACATATAGAGAAATAGTAGAACAGCACATACATGATACAATTTCCAAGGCTCCTGAAAAAGGGAAATAGATACTTCGAAAAAGTGTGTTACTAAATAAAGATATTCTTTATATGGCACATCCACCTCCATTTCCACAAAACTTCTAACAAATTATTTCAAATCTAAATGAAAACATTTTATTTAAAACATAAATATTAAGAAAGGGTTTAGTAAGTAAAGTAGTTACAACTCATTTTTATCACATACAAGCTCTAGATAAAATAGCATGTTTTAAGGAAGACTGCAACACTAAGGGTTGTATTAAATAACTCCTTAAGGTAAGGATAGCTGCAACTAGTTTTCACACAGTTTGCAAGACTTCTGAAAAGCTTAAGCCTAGACATATGACCTAGCTGTTGTCATCAAAGCAATCTTTTCAAGTGACATTTCACATGCCAATCCAAAAGCCCGTTGGTCATCATAGATAAAGAGACAAGTTTGTAAGAAAAAATTGCATAGTTTTACAACTGTATAAAAAAAGTAATGTTTTTTTCATCTTTTGATAAAAAAACCTGCTGCCTGAGAACACCAGTGGTCAAAATGCCAAGGAATTCTTTAAGCTACACAAAAGAACTTAAGGAAAAAGACTTTGGAACTATCAGTCTTCTTCCATATTTAAGGTGCATTAAGATAGAGACTGCCAAAGACCACATTTTGATTGCTATCTCACACCTTTTATGCAAGTTCCAATGTTGAGCCCAAACTCACAAAACCCCCTGCAGTTTTGCAATCAGTAGTAGAAAAAGTAGAAAAATATTACAACAAATCTGCATATTACAAATAAATCTGCAAATATTTTGGTAACTCTGAATAGCACTTTACAGTTTACATCAACACCTGCCAATTTCATCGTCTCTCAAACCTAAGAAGCCTTTGCCTTCTTATTTCCTCTTCTGAATGCTGCTCAGGTGCAAACCAAAAACCATAGGGTCGCCGCTCAGTATTATATGTTGCTCCACCAAAACCTACAAGACACAATGAAAAACAACTGTTATTTTGTTTGGTAACATGAGAAAAATGCACATATATCCTGTAATCCAAAGCATCACAAAACAAATGAAACAGGGAGTTGAATGTTTCCAATTCTGATGGTTTCAGGGCAATCACAACTTCCAGCAACTGCTCTTAAAGATGTGGAATGAAAAAAAGAAACAAACAAACAAAAAGCAAATTAACCACTGACAACACCCAAACATTTAACAAGTTTTAACCTGAGAGTTCATGCTTTCACAATCCCTACTTTATACAGTAAACTCCAGATTGTTAAACTATTTAAACATCCTCAGTAGTTACTTCTGGCAAAATAAGCTTTTGGTTTTGCCTTTAGTATTGCAGTCCAACATGAGCTGACCCATACCAGATGCACATACAGCTCTCCCACCCTTAGTCGGCAGCAAGCAATTTCAGAGATAAACTACACATGGCAGCTCTGCTAGAGAACTGTGAACAAATTAATCTGAGTGGAAACAGCACACCAAGACCAAAGGCTCTCTGCCCTGGCACCCCAAGTGGGAACAAGACCAGGCTATTCCAGTAGCTCTTCAGAATTCACATTAAGCCATCAAGCAAAGAAACAGTTACACACCACCTCAACTGAAGGGCTCTGGGAAGCAAGAATGCCTTCTGAATGCAGGTACAGTGCTACAGATAAGCAAATTAGCTTTAAAGATAACACAACAGCCTCTGTTACATTCAGTATTTTTTAAACTTTCACCTAGGATCTCAGTTAAATTAACAAAAGTGAATAGGAAAACCAACAGTAAATATTATACTATTATGTTCATTTTCAAGATGAATTTCAAATATAGCTGTCTCCTGTATCAGAAATTGTTTGTAGCAAACACATAAGGCCTGTTTATGAGACATGAAGTCAGGAAGTCCAACTTATGGAAGAGGCTCTCTTAGTTTGTGATCCAATTACAAAAGCATTTTAGTTTGTAGAATACTCACCAATAAATATATCATTTTGTGAAAATATGAGAACATGTTCATAATTTTCCTTTTTTGCTTGCCAAGAAGTCAAACTCTTGGAAAATGCTTCCAGAGATAACTATAGCTGCTCAACTCTGAGAGGCAGCAATATTAACATTTATCAAATGAGAAGCACTGTTTTAAAGGATTTTTCAAATTCATATTAACATACAGGAAATTATATATTTTAGTATTTCATCTTCAGCTTGTCCCTGTGTCTTGACTTGCTAGAGACAGATTTGAAAAATATTTAAGCTGTTACTCTGCCTCTGAAAATGCTATGTCATTATTTGACAAATCTTGTTCAAAATATTATAGAAAGCTAACATATTGGAAGTCATAGAGATTGGCACAGATAACATTAACTGCAAGGCTTCTCACTTTTTTTTTTTTTAAAATCCAAGAGCAATGTCATTGTCTAAAAAAACTTAGTTACTATAATCTGCAGCATGGGCAGAATGGTTTTCATTAACAAAAAAATATTAGGTTGAACTGAATATTCACTTACTACATTTATTTTCCCACATGTTGTTTCTTACACAAGGTTTGTTTGAAAAGAACAAACACAAAGTTGTTTTACTGTGTTCTACTGACCACAAGCTGAGAAAAAACACTGGCTAACATTTTGTAACCCAATGAAAATTCCTTTAGAAAACAAAAAACCCAATAGCTTCAAATTGGAAGGCATAAAGCAAGGTGGTCAGTAGACATCCAATTCTCTTGTAATATTGCAGGAATATGTCTAGACAAAGAAGTTAAAAGGTCTGAGACAGCTCTATAAATCTTTTGAAGACAATATTTATGAATTGTAGATACATACTGGAATACAAATGAATAGATCTATATGTATATCTTATCATCTATGAGTAAGTAAAGAAATTGTTAAACAACACTGAATTCATTACAACGTTCTCAACGTTTATGTTGTCATGGCAGGGAAATTTATGAGAAAAATCACTGTGATTTATGTTTTTTTTAATGTCATGTTGTATCTGGGGTGAATAAATGGAAAAAGAAATAAGCAAATTAAGAGTTTTTCACAGTGTTGTTTATATAATAATATAACACCAGTTAAAATGCCTTGTATTTTCTTTGTATTTTGACTTTTGATGGGTATACTTTAAATATAAACAATAGCTAAGATATAAACTTTGATATATGAAAAGTAATATAGTCAAGACCCTGATCATACAAATGGCTGCACCATACAGACTGCAAACTGCATTGTAATGCTCAAGTTCGATATTGTTTTTTAAATCATCATAATTAGGAGAACATTTGAATTCTTAAAAAATTCTTTTCTGTAGCAACATTCCCAAATATCAAAGTTTCTAATTAAAATATTTATTTTTCTATATAGCATACTTGGTTAGTTTTTATTTAAGAAATCAGATACCACTTATACAATTAAGACAACTACTGGCATAGTCCCCATAAAACACGCTCAACATTTAAAATATAAATGTATTCACAATCACTAGAAACAGAAAGAGATGTTATAAAAAAGATGCAAAATGCTCCTTTATATGCTGAACCAAAAATAAAAGACTGACAATGCATTTTGAAAAGCTTTATGTTCAAGAAATGGTATTTTCCATCAAACTATATGGTGAGGAGTGAAGTAATGTAAAATACATCTATTTATATGTATGTATATATTTAAATTATGCTGTTACCCGAAATAGTTCCCTGGCACCTTCTTTTTTTTTAATTACAGTAGAAATATTAATAAAATAACATATATATCTAACGAAAAGATTTATAAGCCACAGTGTTCAGAAATGGTAATTAGGCCACTGCTACTGCTGAAACAACACCTGGACTTCTGTGTAAGAAACAAACACAATCTTTTCAACACATCAGCAAAAACCTTTAAGACTAATGGATTTTAAGATTATATTCAAAGTATTTTAAAAGCTTCAATAACACCAGATGATAGACAAACCCAAAGGACATAATACAAAAAAGTCAGAACAAACCACTAACCCTTACATATCACATTAATTTTATTGTGAACTAGAAATGTTTGCTGTGAATATGGAAGACTGAAACCCTCTATACCTTTCCTGTCACCCTGTGTGTGGTTTTCTGTTACTAAAGTTTATAATTATAGGACCTTGGACTAAAACAAGAAAATCACTGTAACTTCAACTGGTTTAGCTAAACCTGTATTATTGTAATACAGATAAAGCTTTAATAACCTGAAAAATTTTCATCCACATCTCAAATGAATTATGCTTATCATGCCTAAAATACTTACTGTAATTAGGCATTAGAGCACATTACTCTGAAACTACAGTCCTCCATAGGCATAATGCATAATGCACTAAGCACTGGTTCAAACGTTACCCAGCATGTCAAAATCAGAAATTTGATTAATCAGACACACAGTCCGAAATGACAGTGACAACACTGACTGTCCTCCCTTTTTTTACGTATTTTTTTCCCCACTATGAATGAGCAAGTGAAAATGAAGACTGTGTTGCACTCAGAAGAGCAGAGTCACACACCGCTTATCAGCCTGGACTGCCAGTGCTGCCAGAGAATGTTTCCCATCCTTGCTTCCTAGTATTCCTTCAGCACCTTCAAGATTTACGTGAGGAACTGCTTGTACGATAACCATGACAACAATTTTGGAAAGAAGGCTGTAAAACTGTTTATGCTGACCAAGGAAGCCATTTTTACTAGTTTAACCCAACACAGATTTGCAGATTTTTACTCAGCTTTGCACCCTTTTTCTTGGTTTTGAACAATACAGAAACATAAAAACTACTGAGCAGAAGTCTTCTCAAGTCAAAAGATATTAACCAGGGGAATCCCTCAAGAAACTAGAGTCTGTTGTACTCTCTTGGTTTCAGTCAAATTCCAAGTTTTGGAATCAAATTACTGGCATGTTCAATGCAGTCATTTTAAAAATGCAACTGTCCAATCTGATGAGGCAGAAAAAAAAAATACATCTATGAGACTATTAGCTATACAGTACTGGATATTGGGCACTTTGCACTGAAAATTCTGCACCCAATATTGGTTCTTCTGATTCCTAAGAAAAGCTTCTGGTTTATATCTTAAGAAACAACTATTTCAATTATGAAATTCTGACACAGCAGATACTGTCTATAAAGATCTTAATGAATGATAATTCTCTTTTAGAGCAAGAAAATACATTCTAAATTGTACACAAACAGAGAAAACGTGCAACAAAACCAACAATAAATACAATGAGTTAAGACTGTCTTACTGGATACAAGTCTTCCAAATGAAAGTCTTAACTCAGGAATACACATACATTTCAGTTTGGTTCTTGAGCAATTCTGGGCTCTACTAACTGAGAACAGCTGATAATGCCCAAAACTTCCTTAAAGACTTTAGGGTAGCAGAAGGAAACTTAGTAAATGATTCAATGTGCATTTTGGATACATATTAGAGACATTTATGAAGTAAACCCTGAACTTTGATTTCATCACTGAACTGATGCTGAAAGTCCACCTCACTTGTAACAGGTCATTTGCAAGTAAAAGGTTTTTTCAAATTAAATATTATCACACTGAGTACTTTTATAGAACAATCAGGAAAGCATTATTATTGATGTTCCTTCTTCAATTAAATCACGCTTATTTTGTTAAAAAGCACAATTGATGAAAACTTTTATATTATATATATATTTTATATAACAAAGTTTTTATGAAAACTTTAATATTTATATATTAAAAAAATTTGAGTTTCAGTTGCTTTACTCATTACATGACATATTTGAAAAAAAATAAGGCATAATCACAACACAAAATTTAAGACTTTAATTCCTCCATATGCTATTGATATTAAAGCACAGGCAGCTATCACTACTGAACAAACATCAGGAGTTTCTACTGTGGACATTCACAGCTCACATTACAACCAAATCACCAACACAGTTAATCTTCACAAGTACCCTAACCACCAGAAACTAATTCTAATCACAAAACCAAAGTCAGCTTAGCAAAGAGACATTGATCTC